AAAATGTTTTCCCCATGAGGATGGACAAGCAGTGGAGCAGGTACCTAGTGAGGCTGTGCAGGCTCCTTCCTTGGAGACCCTCAAGACCTGACTATTAAGAAATAATTTTAAAAGGCAAAATAACCCCAAATAAAATTATACAAAATATTGAGACTGGGGAGGAGTGGCAGAGTTGAAAGCCTGGAATCACACTGGTTCTCCATATGGTAGGTCATGATAACAATAAGATAATAAATTCATAGTGAAGCTAAATACATGCTTTTGTTACCTCAGACCATGTCATGCAGAACTTGCTGAAGTGCACAGCCTGTAGTGAAGATGAGTCACTGTCTGAAATTACAGGTGTCAAATGAGTGAGTGCTGGAACAATTTGATGAACTATGTGACAATATGTCACAAGAACCAGCTGTTCTGTCCATCCCTTTTGACTGATTTTCTTCCTTTCACTTTGTCTCTGATCCCATTCATTTGGAGATGTGGAACTCCAGATTTGGGATCGGGATACTAGAATGCACTGACATAGTCTGTCATTTTTATGTTGTCAAATAAGGTATGTCTTACCTTTTGACTAATAGATTAGCATATGACCCTGTATTTTTGATAGCATGAGAGTTCAATTGTTTGCTCATCAAAGTGGGAGTGGGAAAGAAGTAATCGCAGACTTTCAGAAAGTAGAGTTAAGATTTTCTTTTTTTCTTCTTTTTCTTTTTTAAGCAACATATCTGAAAGAATGTTCTTTGGCATCTATCTTTTCCTGAAGGCCTTTAGAGGAGATCCCGTGACACTTACGAGAAAGAGCCTAATAATTGAGTCACACACAAGAGAATGATAATTATAATTAAGATTTATATAGCATATTTTATGACAAAGGCACCTCTTAAATAAATGACAGCACTGGTGAAAGGTATAGTACCAACCAGCAATACTGTGAAAAAAGGCAGACTAAGTGTACTGCAAGTATGTCATTACTTTTGCAGAGCTCAGTTTAGCATTATTGTGATTTTCAGAGTGAAGATAGGATTTTGTTTTTTAAGGTTATGCTTTACACACTCTTCCTGCTTTAAATTAGAATAGTAAGGAGTTGAGTCACCTTGGCTTTTGCTTGTCAAAATAATCAGGAATGATAGGTGAATTGGAACTGAGCCCAAATCTCAACAAAAGCATGTTCATATTTGGAAACAAAATGTAAAATCCCATCTCCTGCTCTCCGCCCCCCCTCCCATCCTTCACCCCACCTTTTTCTTTTCCTTCCCATACTCTTGTTTTCACTGTACTTGCTGGTCTGGGAATTATTAAAATAGAACTAGAAAAGCTCTGTTCTGCTCCCAGGCTAGCTGTGATACCATCTTGTTGGAATCTCTGTTTTTGAGATCTATCCCAGAGAGACTCAGTTGAAGCTGAGGTAAGCAAGTAAACTTTTGAGTACTTGACTTTGTTACTTAAGCGTTAACTTGGTGCTGAATTGGAGGAGTTATTAGGGGATTAGAGGTTTTGACTCTTGCTGAACAAATTTGATCTGTTTGAGATTTTCCATAACTTCATTTACCTTGTTTTTCTTGCCTTTTATGCTAAAGGTATAATAACACAAAACTGTCATTAACTGAATCTTCTTTGTTTAATCTTTTCCTTCTGAGGAGGCAAAGGATGGGTAATAGAATTCCAGGTTTGTGTGGATGAGAGAAACCGGAGGAACTTCTGGGTTAGGTAATTTCTGCTGTGAAGTGTGACATACAGTTTTTATTTCTGTGAACTGAAACCAGATGCTGTCTCTGTTGAAATGGAGATTGTGGAGCAGCCCTCTGATGAGAGGAGAAATCTGATACCTGAACGGCATTACAGAAGCATCCAGTAGTGCAGGATAGCGCTTGAAGTCTCAGGAACTCCCTTCTGTTCCCATGCTTGGTTTCTCACTGCAGTAGTCAGCATCCAGTGAACAGCAGAATGATTTAGGAAAGAGTAAAGCAGAAGCTGTTGTGTTTTTCCATTTTTCATATAACAGAGGTTTCCTAGGGAAGGTCAGTCCTGTAAGAAAACAAGTGGACAAAATCACTGGTCACACAGATGATGCAGATGTGGGGACCATATTGGAAAAGTGTAAGAGAATTTTATATTACTGATTTTTCAGACTGTAGACATGTATTTGACAGACATTTATGCTCACATCTGCTTATTGAACCATAATTGCCCTGATGAAGCATATGGTTGGTAAGACAGAAGGAAACGCATCATGACATGGGTTTTTGAACTCTGGGCTGAGCAGAGCTATTTTCTACAGGAATGATCAGAAGGAAAGGGACCTGAATGGTCTGCCAAGGTTTCAAGGGGAAGGTTAAATGTCTCTATGGCATACCAGACAAAGAAGAAGTGTTTGGATAATGCACAGGAGGAAGAGGAAAGGTGTAACTGGCAGCAGAGAAGCAAGTTGTTATGAAAGCAGGAATTGGAATATGTTTATCTCAGAGGGGATACACCCCATTTTGTTAGGTAGTCAAATAACCAATATGTTTCACTGAGATTTTTCTGAATAGAAGTTAGCTTTTGCATATTTTGTTGGAAGGTTAGAGTGATCTTCAAAAGGAGAGTGAATCTGCTATAAGACAAACCAGTAGAGTCCACTTTATTGTAATACAAAGACAGCTATGTGTGATGAAGAAGTAATTTTTCCCATTACTTCTTTTGAGAGTCTATCAAATGATTGATTTCTTATTTTTAATTTTGAAGAGGAAAAAATAGAATTTACTTTCTGGACCATTTTTGAAAATAGTATTTCAACCAAAAAAAGAAGAATGGCACATTTGCTCTGTGTATCCAGCTCTCTTTCTGTCATTTGAAACTTTTTTGCCATCAGGTGTGGTCAGTGTTGTGGGAGACTCCTGTCCAACTGTATGGCCTCTTAAACATCTTTTCATCTCATCCAAATTGTACCTGTTGCATTAATCTGTTCATAGCATTCATATTCAGGATCTGAAACCTCCTGAAGATCCTTAAAGTGATAGTGTTTGAGGATTTTTTTGGGTCTATCTGTAATATTGACTTCCAACTCACTATTCCCAGATTTGAGGTAGTGAATCAGAAAACGTTTTCCTTATGTCAGAATTAAGAGGGTGTGGTCAGGCTAGAAAACATTTCCACTGTAAAACTGTTTTTGTTATAGCTGTCCATACTGGTTAGAAGAGCTTGAATTTCCTTGGTTTGGTCTGTAGGACCATTACTGTTATCTTCTGTTTTGAAGTTCTTCCTGAACGTACTTCCACTTACGGAGTACGTGGGGGTTTTTAAAATATAATACTAATCTGTTTTTTAAGAAATGCTCCTGTGTGCTTTAGTAAATTACCCTTTTTTTAAAAATTACTTTGTTTCTACCCAGCCCAGGCACTAATGCTGTGATTTTTCTCTGCTTATAGAACACTGTATGAAAGTAGGAGAATGTCAGGTCCAGGCAAATGGGAACAGACCAAGCATACTGAAGAGCTTTAACTATTTCAAGTAATGGACATATTTGGTTTTGGTGGTTGTTGGAGTCTTTTTCTTTCTTCTTAGGGACTAGTTTGGGGTATTTTTATTTGGTTTGTCATAGAATCATAGAATGTTTTGGGTTGGAAGGGACCCCTAGAGGTCATCTAGTCCAACCCCCCTGCAGTGAGCCAGGACACTGCTAACTAGACCAGGCTGCTCAGAGCCCCGTCCGACCTGGCCTTGAATGTTTCCGGGGATGGGGCCTCCACTACCTCTCTGGGCAACCTGTTCCAGAGTTTCACCACCCTCATTGTAAAGAACTTCTTCCTTCTATCTAGTCTAAACCTACCCTGGTTTAGTTTAAAACCATTACCCCTTGTCCTGTCACAGCTGTCCCTACTAAAAAGATTTTCCCCATCTTTCCTATAGGCCCCCTTTAGGTACTGGAAGGCTGTAATCAGGTCTCCCTGCAGCCTTCTCTTCTCCAGGCTGGGTATTTCTTGTTTGGTTTTGGGTGTTGAGGGGTTTTGTTTGTGTGGGGTGTTGGGTTTTTTTGTTTTGTTTTTTTTTTTTTAGGAAGAGAGAGATATCACTACTTAACTGAATAGATTTAATCTCTTTTGGGATGTTTTCCAGATACTGAGGCTAAATTCTTCCTTATTCAGTTGTAACCTTTCCTTTCCTTCCCACCTTCTCATTTGTGAGTAGCACCAAATTCTGTACTTAGTCAATTCATTGAGTGAAACAGCTTTTAATGGAACAGTGGAATTTCTTTTTCATTTACAGTTCTGTAACTGGTGAGTGGATCTAGCCCCTGGAAGGAGATGCACTGCCTTTTTGCTTTCAGTGTACATTGTGCCCGTTGACTCACCGGGCATGTATGAAAAGGGAAAATATAAAATATTTTTAAATTGCCAAAGTCAGATACGAGTGAAGAAAATGACATTTAGTATTTTCAAACACAGATCTTTTGCTGAATAAATATTTATCGTATCTGTTTATAATGTCATGTCAAATGAAACTAGTATTTATTTTGCCTGGATGAAAGCCACATCTAGCCCAAATTAATCTTAAGCAAAATCTTGAGATTGCAAAAATATTGAGTTCAATATAGCAAACAGTTTTCTGAGTGCAGTGAATGGTATTTTTGCATTTTAAGTCCAGCTATCTTGGATAAAACAGTGAAAATGTCTCTCAGATCAGTTTTCAGTGCATAGAAGTTTTAATATTCCTGGTTTTATTTGCATGAAACTTCAGTAATCAAACAGTAATCTCTTATCCTCAGAGGTGGAAAGACCTTGTAACGAACCCCAGAAGACTATTGTAGGGGGAGCCTGATAATCTTTTTATTTTTTTAATGCTAATTCTCCTTTTCCAGTGGGAGTGAATGATGTCATCCTGTCTCCTCCCACTGTGTAAACTAAGCTTGTGTCAAAGTGTTGCTGCCTCTTGTCACAGAGAGAACAGTTCACTTAAATGCAGCTGCAGTACTTTTGTGTGATACCTGTCAGAATCATTCCCAGTGCGAGGTTGGGTTTGTGACCATGATGTCAAGATTGGTCTTTCTCCTTTTCTGTGGATATATTGCACTAAACCTGGGAAATGCTCAGAAATTGCCAAGAGGCAAGTAGCTATGACAACTTTCTGGGGTTTTGTTTGTTTTTTCTGCTGTGGGGCTTTTTGCTTTTTAATGCTTGTGTTTTGCCACGGAAATTCACTTTCAACAAGTTAAGAATGATTAAAGATAATGCAAAAGGTGAAAGAAGATCAGTCAACAGGGCAAGGTCCAGGTACAAGAGAGTAACTTTAAAGCTTTTGAATTAAACAAGCTCAAATGTTTTCATGGGATCTTGTGACTCTAGTGAGAAGTACCATGAAGCAAAGTAACTGTATTTAATGATTTTATAATGATATAGACAGCATTGTGCAGGTTTGTGGTTTAAGATCTTAAAGAAAATGTGACTTAGGAGCACCTTCTGTTGGTGGAAGAATTCAGTTCTGTCTAGAAAGAACTTTTATGCTTTCCCGTTATATCCATCCTTAATAATGGAATAGGAATTGACTTTTGTAGGTCAGGTTGCATGCATTTTGAGGGCGAGAAATAGGATTTATTAACATTTCCACAAGAATTAAAAAAAAAACCCTAAACCTGTGTGAATATTTGTTTAAGTATTCCTTTCTCCTGAAGTCTGGAAGTACAGTAGATTTGCAAAGCTGGCAGGGATCTCTTCCTTGCTAATGTGACCCATGTAACATTGGCATTTTACTAATCTCTTATTATTGCAGGAAGAACAGTCATAGCATAAAATGAAAAGAATATTTCTGTATCTATATCATAAAACACTTCGTAGTACCCTGGCACTAAAACAGCACTTTCACAACTGTTTCTGTACTGCACGTATTGCTCTCACTTTGTAGAAGTGCTTGCCTGAGTACAGTGTGGTTTGTAATGCATTTTACATCTGCAGTCTCCTGCAACCAGTAACGTTTAGAAAGGAAGCTGTGATTTAGTTACTTATGAGAACACTTATTAAGAAATCGACACTTTGAGGGCTTCCTAGGAGATTCTGTTTCATAGATGTGGAACCTAAAAGTATTTTGGGGAGAAGAGGTGATTTTTCATTCCCCATCCCTCCCCAAGAGACTTTAAAAAAAAATAAAATTGTTTTTCTTTTTTTTCTTTTCTTTCTTTCTTTCTTTTTTCCCCTCCCCTGGTAATGTTCTTTTGGAAATGGCTTGCTTTCTTGAGCTAATGTGGAGTTTTCTGCATACTGCTAATAGTTGTGCAATGTGTAGTCTGTGAGTAATAGATAGATATGCAGTTGTTCAAGTCAAGAAGACTAAGACCTTAGTTTTATCAGACAAACAATCTATAATTAAACTACTATAGCAGTTTTCATAGGGACGATTATGAACATAGAGGAACCTTGTATGTATTGCCTACTTTGAGGGAAGGAATTTTTCTAGTGTTTATCTTTTTAAATGGTTTCACTGGACTTTCTGCTCACTATCATAGAATAGTGGCTGTAAATTTATGTTAACTGAGAAATTCAGACAAAGCTACCAATTCCCTGCGGTCAGTGGGAGATTACCTCTGGTATGCTTTTTTTCCTGTCCTAAAATAACGTTGCAGAAGTGAAGTTCTGTTCGCCAAATGCTGCAGGTGGAAACTTCATTTCTTTTCAGAAAATAGCTTTTTAAAGATTCTCTCACTGCAGTGTTGAAACATCAATCTAATTCTCTTGTTTGCAGCTGCCTCTCAGGTTATGATTTACATTGGACTGTGTGGAAAAAACAAGTGTATTTGTACCTAGCTGTTACCTGGATATGATTGAAGGATTGTCTTTTCCTACAATGTTCTCTGGCTTGATAGGGAGTATAGAATTTTTTCATAAGCAAAGAGCATACTCATATTTTTAAAATGAGGATATGCAGTGGTGGTATTCTGTTAAGCTTCCTTAGCAGGGCAGAGTAGCCCTCTTAAGTTCCAGTAAATTCCTGTGCTCTTCAACTCATGAACTGTGTAACTGAGGCTTCAGAGTTACTCCTGTTCTATGGAGAACAGTGGAACCCATGTCACAACTTAAGGGAGAACAATCTAGCCAATCTTGCTTTCTGGTGGTGCTTGTACTCCTATGAACACGTTATCAGTGTAAATCTTGCCGTTCTTACTACCTCTTTGGAATTCTAGTGTTCAAGTCTTCTCTCCAGGAGGTGAAATGTGCTGATCCCTGGTCTCATGGACTAGGATTTCCTTTCAGTGGTACAAGGTGGAAAAGAACATCTTGCCTCCTGTAGCTGCAAAGGAACAGAGCCAGTACACCCTTTGGATGTCAGTGACTTCCAGAGCTATTGGAGAGTTTGTGTGCACATATGCCATTCAGGAGACTGGAACGCACATGACTCCCTTTGCCCATATATTTTTATACTTTCACCTCCACGTGTGTGTTTGACTAGAATGACAAAGAAAATGTTATTGCTGTTCTCAAAAGTGTTATTACCAATTTCTTTCTTTAATTATTTTGACTTCATTAATTAAGGCATTCTTGGAGGAATAATTTGGAAACGATGCCAACATGACTCAAGGAGTCAAAATCAGGGAAATATCAGTTAAAATTTCCAGTGGAAACTTTATACTGCTTCTATGTATTATAATTACTGTAATAGTTTTGCCTGTATAGAAAATAGGCCTCTACTTGTATCTGGTCCTAGTGTAGTGCCCTAAGTGCAGGTGAACAGTTGCAGTGCATAGGTGTCAGTTATAACTTGTCATACTTTCTCTAATTTTTATGGTTCTGCATAACAGAAATGTTCCATCCTTGAAGAATGCAGCATTGTGTCTCTAGACAGGAATTGAGTACAGACAAAAAGTCTTGTCTTTAGAGAAGGAGTTGGTAAGCAGAGCATCCTGAATCTGAGAGGGGGATGAAAAAGCAAAGCCACAGAACCAAGAATAAACAAGTTACAGGACATAATCCACAAGATTGTACTGCCTTGTAAACTATGTTTGACTGGCATCTTTCCAGCTGGTCCTGATACAGATGTTGTTGAAGGCAACAGTTGTGGAACAAATTCTTAGTGTTTGGTAAAACAGCATTTCATGTTTTTGATTTTGCCAGCTGACTTTCCAGTTACAACACAGATGTGCATAGAAATGCACTTTTTCCCTATAGTCTCTGTTTCTGATAGCTTTTGTGTATCTTCATGTTCTGTTTTAATTTGTTAGAGCTGAAAAGAATTTGGGTTTGATCCCTTCTTATAAACTTACAGTTTAATGAAGTTTTAAAAAGAAGAGTCTGAATGTTTTTTGGTTTGTGGTTTTGTTTTTTTCCCCCCGTTTCTGACCTCTGTGGTTTTCCTATTATTTGAATTATCCATCAGGTAGATTGGAATTCAGGCCCATCCTTGTTCTACTTTCCAGGATTCAGGCCTGTCCTGTTCTGCTTTCCAGGAAGGGCTCAGGAAACCTTAATTCACCTCCCTCCTGGTTGCTGCCTTCTTAGGGAAAAAGAGTACAGACTTGACATTTCTTATGGGACTATGTGAAACAGCCTGATTTACAGACTCATGTAGGGAGAACCAGATCCAAAACTTTCTTGTCTCCACAGTTGTCGACTGCGGAGACAAGTGGGGAAAAATAATAGTTTTATTCCAAGGGTTTTTCTGTTATTGTTGTTTGGTAAGTATACAAGAATGCTAGAAAATATTGTAGATAACTACTAGTTAAGATTTGTATTTATGGTAATTATAACTGACATCCCTGTGAGCGTGAATACTATATTTACAGTATACTTCCAAACTTACAGCTGATATTTGTGAAAGGAATGGGCTAATTTTATTCATAGCTAAATTTGCTGGCTGTGCCATGTTATGTAACACTTCTTCCTAACCAGAGGTTAAACTCGGCATATGTTTTCACTTAGTTGTGTCAAGCATTTAAAACAATGTTGAATTATTTCAATGTATCGGATAGCAGGGCAGAAACTGCAAGACAATGAAAAGTCTCCTGAAAGTTGGGGGGTTTTTTGAACATATAATGAAGCTGGCATATCAAAATACCACAAATGAAATGAAATGACATATGGTTTATATGTTACTTTCCCCATGGCTTGAAAAACATCTTTCTGGGAGTTATTTTTAAAAATACACACTGCATTAACCTTTAAAAAACATATTCTAATGAAGGAGGGCCCATTTGGACTAAACTATTGAACTTTTTATTTAGTGTCTGGAAAGAAAGTGCAAAAATAATTTGATTTGTGTGAAATACTTCTCTTATGTTTAATGGCACATAAATGACAATAAAGTCCTATGAGAAATTTCAAAGGGACCCTTTATCTAGTATAATTGAGTGGCTCGGGTTTTCAGTCAGTAGATGTGTCATGGCAAATTTGGCTCATTCTTTGCTGAAAATGAAAACAACCCATAAGAATGTTGCCATTATAGCAGCTCATTTAATCAAAGTTATCTTATCACGCAGACAGTTGTGTCCTAGGATCACACAAAACCATATCAAAACTTGATATTGAGCATCAAGCTTCCAAGTTCAAAGATAATCTGTAATACCAGAATTCCATTTTTATACTGGCACAGGCAGTGATGTGACAGTGGGATGATACATATGGGTGGATTCTGCCAGGATTAAATTCCATAGCATATGAACGCCTCTAAAATGACCTCACTTCTGGGTAATCTCTATAACCTTCCACTTCTTCATTTTCATTTTAATGTTCCCAAGTATCTTTTTCTGAATATTATTTTTCAGTCCTCCTCCATATAATCTTTTGTATCTAGCTGTTCCAGCAGGACAAGCTACATAACTCACTTGAGGGGAGAGCTGAGGCTAAATCCTCCTGCTGCTCTTTGGCCAGACCTACTGTATGTGGATAATATACTCTGTATATCTATTGACTGGTGGTACTGTGAATGGTCAATGGGTCTGAGGCTTCTTCAGAGTGTTTAGACTTACCAGGCGTATGCTACACATTGCATGTGCAAACAGAAAGCTCTGTCTGCTCCGGGGGGGAAATGGCTAGCAGTGACGTGCCATAGTCAGAGCTGTTCATACAGGTCCTCATGGATTTCTTTTCCTTGGGGAAATTCAAGTGCAGACTTGAAATTGT